CCCTCTCTATTCCTCCCTTCTTTTGAGATGCACAGTATTTGTCTGTTTTCTCCAATTTCTCTGAGGATTGCAGTGATTTATCGGCCTCCTGGACCAGTATCACACTTTATTTTGTAATTCCTTTATTTATACATTTTTTGCAGAGTAGCCAAAAAACGTACAATATGAAGTACAGAGAAAGTTACATAGAAAATGGCAGTATATGGGTCAAACATAACCAATAATCAAGTAAACAAACAGCAGCATGGTAAAAACCGAGATAGGCACAAACAAAATAAAATCATGTGCATGGTACTGTGTGGCCCCGACCGGCTGGTATGTCAATAGTCCAAATACAGGTACCAACAACACGAGCCACATGGACAACCGGCCAATCCAAAGATCTCAGACATGTGCAATAGAGAACCCAAAAGGGATCTCAGGGCAACCAACTGGGAAAATTATTTCAGCAGGGAATTCCCCGTCAATTGGGAGAACAACCACAAAAAAACTATGGTTACATGGGGGAATCACGAAGAAAGAGGGAAAGAACAGGGCACAGAGGGAAGAGGAAAGGGGCAAAAACAAAAAGGGCGGATGAAGCTGAGGAAGAAAACCAGAAAGAAAGGGGTAAATGGAGAGAAGGATGAACAATAAAGGACCAAACAAGAAAGGACCAACAAAATAAGGCAGAAAAGGTAGAAGAGGAGAGCGAATCAGCCCTCCCATCCTGGGGACCAGACCAGCAACCAAACCAAAGACAAGCCAGACATCCAAGCCCTTCGATCCGGCTCAGAGGGCACCTGAAGATGAGAATCAGTATAGACAAAATATTGCCATGGTCTCCAAGTGTCTTCAAAGACTTCCCCTCGGTCATACAGAGAGGCTGTAAGGTCCTCCATATCTCGCAGCTCATTAACTTTAGAAAACCAAAGGGACCTCGTAGGTGGGTGTACAGATGTCCAACACAGGGGAATACAAGCCTTGGCTGCGTTAACAATCGAATCGTCAGAGAGGCCTTATATTTTTTAATGGGGCCATCTACAAGGTGCAGCAAGCTGCTGGGTCACAAGTAACATCAACACTCGTCAGATCATTAATGGTACCAGTCACCATTTGCCAAAAGGGTTTGATTTTAGGACAGGCCCAGAAAATATGCAGTATCGTAACCTGGTCAGTGCCGCATCTCCAACACAGGTCCGAAACCTGTGGGCCAGTATCACACTTTACTGCCTGGCTACCCTACCTTCTCTCCTCTGAAACACCCCCCATCATTCTTGGTGACTTTACCATCCCTGTTAATGTTAACAGCCCAGCTACTGCTCAGCTTCTCAACTTCACCTCATCTTTTGACCTAACGCAATGGCCACTTCCACTCACTCCAATGGTAACACCCTTGACCTTGTATTCTCCCATATCTGTAGTCCTGGCAACCTCACCAACACCCCCTTTCCTCTCTCTGACCACAACCTCATCACTTTCACAGAATCCTTGTCTCCAACCACCTGTCCATCCAAGCAGCCAAGCATTGCTTGTAGAAACCTTCCCCACCTCAACTGTACAGAGAAGGGCAACCAAACAGGTAAGAGGCATGGAAGAGCTCATAAGGGGGGATATGATCTCCATGTATAATACATAAGGGGGGATATGATCTCCATGTATAATACATAAGGGGGGGATATGATCACCATGTATAATACATAAGGGGGGATATGATCTCCATGTATAATACATAAGGGGGGGATATGATCTCCATGTATAATACATAAGGGGGGGATATGATCTCCATGTATAATACATAAGGGGGGATATGATCTCCATGTATAATACATAAGGGGGATATGATCTCCATGTATAATACATAAGGGGGATATGATCTCCATGTATAATACATAAGGGGGGGATATGATCTCCATGTATAATACATAAGGGGGGGATATGATCTCCATGTATAATACATAAGGGGGGATATGATCTCCATGTATAATACATAAGGGGGGGATATGATCTCCATGTATAATATATAAGGGGGGGATATGATCTCCATGTATAATACATAAGGGGGGGATATGATCTCCATGTATAATACATAAGGGGGATATGATCTCCATGTATAATACATAAGGGGGGATATGATCTCCATGTATAATACATAAGGGGGATATGATCTCCATGTATAATACATAAGGGGGGATATGATCTCCATGTATAATACATAAGGGGGGGGGGATATGATCACCATGTATAATACATAAGGGGGATATGATCACCATGTATAATACTTAAGGGGGGATATGATCACCATGTATAATACATAAGGGGGGGGATATGATCTCCATGTATAATACATAAGGGGGGATATGATCTCCATGTATAATACATAAGGGGGGGGGGGATATGATCTCCATGTATAATACATAAGGGGGGATATGATCTCCATGTATAATACATAAAGGGGGGGATATGATCTCCATGTATAATACATAAGGGGGGATATGATCTCCATGTATAATACGTAAGGGGGGGGGATATGATCACCATGTATAATACATAAGGGGGGGGGGGGATATGATCACCATGTATAATACATAAGGGGGGGGGATATGATCTCCATGTATAATACATAAGGGGGGGATATGATCTCCATGTATAATACATAAGGGGGATATGATCTCCATGTATAAATACATCAGTGGGTCATATAGTGAACTCGGTGTAGTTATTCCCCCTGAGGTCATCACGGAGGACAAGGGGGCGCTCTTTACGTCTGGAGGAAAAGAAATGTAATCTCCAAACACGGAAAGGTTTCTTCACAGTCAGAGCTGTGAGAATGTGGAATAGACTCCCTCCAGAGTTGGGTGTGGCCAGCTCAGTGGATTGCTGGAGGAAAGTCCTGGATTCTTTCTTGGATACACAGAATATAACTGGATATAACATTTATAGGGAAAGTGGATCCAGGGAATATCCGATTGCCTCTCGGGGGATCAGGAAGGAATTCTTTCCCCTGCAGGAGCAAATTGGATCGTGCTTTGCTGGGTTTTTGCCTTCCTCTGGATCAACTGTGGGTATAGGACTATAACTTTTTTTTTTTTTAATGGTTGAACTGGATGGACTTTTGTCTTTTTTCAGCCAGACTAACTATGTAACTATGTAACCCTTCACTTCTCTATTCTCCTACTGACCACCTCTATAACAAAATCTCTCCCCTTTCATGTCCTAACCTGACCACCTCTGTTTACAACAGTTCACTCTCATCCTCACTGGATGCACTTGCTGCTCTAACTACATGAAGAATCAGGCCCCGACCATTACAACCCTGGCCAACTGACAACACTGGAAATCTCAAGAGACGTTGCCATGCTCTTGAACGACTGTGGCATAAAACCAAATCCTATAAATCTGCCCTCCTAAAATACCATTCCTCCTCCATGCTGCCAAACAAACCTACTTTGTTTCTGTTATTAATGCCTTGTCACCTGTCCTCGTTGGCTCTTCGCTACATTGAATTCTCTGCTCTGTCCCCCACTTCCTTTGCCCCCTAACTTACTCACTGCACAACAGCTTGCCAATCACTTCAGGAAAGATTGATGCAGTACGTGAGGCACATCCACTATACAGATATCTTCCCACTAAACATACCTTGCCCAGCGGCACAGTCACCACTTTCCTCTTCTGACCCGCCTACTACTGAAGAGGTTACCAACCTGTTCTCAGATGCCCACCTAACCAATCAGCATGCGCCGATCAACCCCATTTTTAAAAATCTCTCACTGGACCCCACCAACGTGAACAACTTAAGACCCATCTCCTTGCTCCCATTCACCTCTAAACTTCTAGAATGCTTAGTCTACAACTGTCTGAGTCCAACTTCTCTTAAAACAACCTTCTTGACCCCTTACAGTCTGGCTTTCTCTTGCAGCACTCCACAAAACCTGCCCTACTAAAACTCACTCATGATTTACTAACTGCTACTACTAATGGCCACTACTCTGTACTCATCCCAACCAATGGCCACTACTCTGTACTCATCCCAACCAATGGCCACTACGCCGTACTCATCCCAACCAATGGCCACTACGCCGTACTCATCCCAACCAATGGCCACTACTCCGTACTCATCCCAACCAATGACCACTACTCGGTACTCATCCCAACCAATGGCCACTACTCTGTACTCATCCCAACCAATGGCCACTACTCCGTACTTCTCCCAACCAATGGTTACTACTCCGTACTCATCCCAACCAATGACCACTACTCCGTACTCATCCCAACCAATGGCCACTACTCCGTACTCATCCAAACCAATGGCTACTACTCCGTACTCATCCCAACCAATGACCACTACTCCATACTCTTACTACTAAACCTCTCTGCATCCTTTGATACTGTTGACCATCCCCTCCTTCTCAATAAACTCCACTGCCTTGGTCGCCGAGATACATCTTTATCCTGGTTCTCCTTCTACCTGTCACAGCGCTCTTTCAGTGCCAGATATAACTCTTTCTCCTCCTCTCCTCTTCCTCTTTTTGTAGGGGCCCCCCAAGGCTCTTTTGTTGGACCCCTCCTCCTCTTCTCTATCTCTACACCTCCTCTCTTGGTCACTTGATAACCTCCCATGGCTTCAAATACCATCTCTGTGCAGATGACACCCAAATCTATCCCTCTACTTCTCACCTCACTTCATTAGCCTCCTCTCCCATTACTAACTTACTAACTGACATATCAGCATGGATGTCGCACCACTCCCTTAAACTAAATCTCCCTAAAACCGAGCTGATAATATTCCCTCCCCTCATGCACTCCTACATGACTTTTCCATTAAGATCAATAATGCTACGATCAGTCCCTCCCCTCAAACCACAGTACTAGATGTAATCCTAGATTTTGGACTCTCCTTTCAGCCCCAAATCCAATCGATGTCAAAAGCTTGTAGCCTTAACCTCCGTAACATCTCTAAAATTCGACCCTTTTTAACCAATGAAACCGCCAAGCTACTCATTCACTCCCTTGTTATTTCTCGCCTTGACTATTGCAACTCCTCTCTCATAGGTCTACCTCTCTGTAGGCTATTCCCTCTCCAGTCTATCATGAATGCTGCTGCCAGGATCATCTACCTTACCAACCACTCAGTGTCCGCCACCCCTCTCTGCCAATCCCTCCACTGGCCTCCATTCAGTGTCCTCCATCCCTCCCGTCCAATCCCTCCACTGGCCTCCATTCAGTGTCCTCCACCCCTTTCTACTAATTCCTCCACTGGACTTCATTCAGGGTATATCCGCTCACCCCAGACCCCACATTCACTATATCCGCTCTCCCCGACCCCGCATTCACTATATCCGCTCTCCCCGGACCCCGCATTCACTATATCCGCTCTCCCAGGACCCCGCATTCACTATATCCGCTCTCCCCGACCCCGCATTCACTATATCCGCTCTCCCCGGACCCCGCATTCACTATATCCGCTCTCCCCGGACCCCGCATTCACTATATCCGCTTTACCTGGACCCGCATTCACTATATCCGCTCTCCCCGGACCCCGCATTCACTATATCCGCTCTCCCCGGACCCCGCATTCACTATATCCACTCTCCCCGGACCCCGCATTAACTATATCCGCTCTCCCAGGACCCCGCATTCACTATATCCGCTCTCCCCGGACCCCGCATTCACTATATCCGCTCTCCCCGGACCCCGCATTCACTATATCCGCTCTCCCCGGACCCCGCATTCACTATACCCGCTCTCCCCGGACCCCGCATTCACTATATCCGCTCTTCCCGGACCCCGCATTCACTATATCCGCTCTCCCAGGACCCCGCATTCACTATATCCGCTCTCCCAGGACCCGGCATTCACTATATCCGCTCTCCCCGGACCCCGCATTCACTATATCCGCTCTCCCCGGACCCCGCATTCACTATATCCGCTCTCCCCGGACCCCGCATTCACTATATCCGCTCTCCCCGGACCCCGCATTCACTGTATCCGCTCTCCCGGGACCCCGCATTCACTATATCCGGTCTCCCTGGACCCCACATTCACTATATCCGCTCTCCCGGGACCCCGCATTCACTATATCCGGTCTCCCCGGACCCCGCATTCACTATATCCGCTCTCCCCGGACCCCGCATTCACTATATCCGCTCTCCCCGGACCCCACATTCACTGTATCCGCTCTCAACAGTCACACATGTACACACGGTACAACAGTCGCAGAGGAAAGCTTTGCTACAACCAATACTTTTCTATTGCAACAAATGTATCTAAATCTGAAAACAAAGATGTCATATGTTAGAACTTAAAGTGTTACTAAACCCACAACAGTAACATCAGGCTGGATATTATTATTATTATACAGGATTTATGGCGCCAACAGTGTGCTCAGCACTGTACAATATAACAGGAGACAATACAGCAACGATACAGTTCAATACAAGAGGGTTAGGAGGGCCCTGATCCTGGGAGCTTACAATCTATGCAGTAAAGCATGCTTGATATGCTCACTGTGGAACCGAAGGGGTTAAGACTCCATTAAAGGAATGCTGGTGCTGGTGGGAAGGGGGTTAAAGTCTAAGTTCAGGATTTTTTCCCCTGCAGGAGCAAATTGGATCGTGCTTTGCTGGGTGTTTTTGCCTTCCTCTGGATCCCCTTTGGGTGGAGGATTATAACTTTTTTTTTTAATGGTTGAACTGGATGGACTTTTGTCTTTTTTCAGCCAGACTAACTATGTAAATCTGTAACTATGACATGGAGTAGGGGTGCTGGTGCCGGGGTGGACTGACCATTTGGGCACTCGGGCACTGCCCGAGGGTCTGGGGTTAGTAGAAGGCCCATTGATGGGCTTCTGGAAGGATGGGGCGGGATGGATGGAGTAAGCAGGCTCTCTCACCCCCTCTCTTTTTCTCTTACCCCTCTCTCTCTCTCTCACTCCCCTTTCTCTTACCCCCTCTCTTTTTCTATTACCCTTCTCTCTCTCGCCCCCCCTTTCTTTACCCCCCTCTCTCAACCCCCTTTCTCTCTCACCCCCCTCTCTCTTACTCCCCTTCCCTCTATCACACCCCTGTCTCTTGCCCCCTCTCTCTCACCCCCCTCCCATTCTCACCCTACTCTCTCTCATCCCCCTCTCTCTTACCCCTTTCTCTCTATCACACCCCTGTCTCTCGCCACCCCCTCTCTTTTTCTCAAACCCCCCCTCTCTCAACCCCCTTTCTTTCTCACCCCTCCTCTCACCTTCCTCCATTTCTCACCCCCCTCTCACCCCCCCTTTTACCCCCCTCTCTCTTTCACCCCCCCCCCCCCCCCCCGTCTGACCCCACCCTGGCTGGTGGTCATGGAAGGCTCCACTTAAAGGGGAACTCCAGGGAAATGTATCTATCTCTCACCCCCTCCCTTTCTCACCTCCCTCTCTCTCTCGTCCCCTTTTCTCTCACCCCCTTTTCTCTATCACATCCCTGTCTCTCGCACCCCCCTCTCTTTTTCTCATACCCCCCTCTCTCAAACCCCTTTCTTTCTCACCCCTCCTCTCACCTTCCTCCATTTCTCACCCCCCTCTCACCCCCCTTTTACCCCCCTCTCTCTTTCACCCCCCCATCTGACCCCACCCTGGCTGGTGGTCATGGAAGGCTCCACTTAAAGGGGAACTCCAGGGAAATGTAAACAAACATGTATCCAGTGCCATGTTTTATTTAAATGTCGCCATAAGGAATTTTCTACACTTTTTGTTTTTGGTATTTTTGTAACCCGCTTACCTCTCTAATTGTTAAAGAGTAACTAAAGGGAAAACTTTTTTTTTCTTTTTTAGTTTTGGCCAGAGTGGAGAGGGATTAGAACCACTGTCGGGTTTTTATAGATCACATAGATCATACCCTTGGCTCTCACCTGCAGGTCTCTGTCTGCCACAACTTGCTGCAACAGTGACTGAAGCAGGCTGAACAGAACTAAAAGACATCGAGAAGCCAGTAGTTGTCATTATTTGTAACTCTTAGATTGTAAGCTCCCAGGATCAGGGCCCTCCTATCCCTCTTGTATTGAACTGTATTGTTGCTGTATTGTCTCCCATTATATTGTACAGCGCTGAGCACACTGTTGGCACCATAAATCCTGTATAATAATAATAATAATTTGGTTTTAAAAAATAATGGTTTAAAAAAAATGGAATGCTCAGTCTACAATGCCCGGGCCTATTTGTTTGTCCCAGTCTGGACCTGGACCTGCCACACTGCAAGAATGGTTCAAGAATGGTTTGAGGAACACAACGAGTTTGAGGTGCTGACTTGACCTCCCAATTCTCCAGATCTCAATACAATCCAGCATCTGTGGGAGTTGCTGGAAAAACAAGTTTGATCCATGGAAGCCCCACTTCCAATCTTACAGGAGATCCATGGAAGCCCCACCTCCCATCTTACAGGAGATCCATGGAAGCTCCACTTCCCATCTTACAGGAGATCCATGGAAGCCCCAATTCCCATCTTACAGGAGATCCATGGAAGCCCCACTTCCCATCTTACAGGAGATCCATGGAAGCCCCACTTCCCATCTTACAGGAGATCCATGGAAGCCCCACTTCCCATCTTACAGGAGATCCATGGAAGCCCCACCTCCCATCTTACAGGAGATCTATGGAAGCCCCACATCCCATCTTACAGGAGATCCATGGAAGCCCCACTTCCCATCTTACAGGAGATCCATGGAAGCCCCACTTCCCATCTTACAGGAGATCCATGGAAGCCCCACTTCCCATCTTACAGGAGATCCATGAAGCCCCACATCCCATCTTACAGGAGATCCATGGAAGCCCCACTTCCCATCTTACAGGAGATCCATGGAAGCCCCACTTCCCATCTTACAGGAGATCCATGGAAGCCCCACTTCCCATCTTACAGGAGATCCATGGAAGCCCCACTTCCCATCTTACAGGAGATCCATGGAAACCCCACTTCCCATCTTAAAGGAGATCCATGGAAGCCCCACCTCTCATCTTACAGGACCTAAAGGATCTGCTACTGACTGCTTGGTTCTGGATACCACAGCGTACCTTCAGAGGTCTAGAGGGGTCCATGCCTCCATGGGTCAGGAAAGGGGGGACCTACTCAATCTTAGGTGGGTGGTCATAAAGTTATATCTGATTGGTGTATTTGGAAGTTTTTGTGTCTGAAATTCAGATTGTAATAAAAAAGCCTAAAGAAGGATGAAAGAAGGAGGGGACAAGAGAATGTGCGAGAACCCCAAATGTGTGCTCCTCATTCCCAGGCCTTTATTTCCTGCCGACTTTATTCTTCATTCTTCACCCTCCTTGCCTGGGAAAGATTTATTATTCATATTTAAGCTAACTTCTGGGCTCCTACCATCTGCCTTGTCATCAATCACAATAAAAGCCGGGGTGCCATCAAGGCAATGTTCTTCCCCCCTCTCTCCTCACTCCAATTCCCAGCGCTGCAATAAATGTGAGGATTTAGAGCGCTGGAGCGTGCAGGGTGGGAAGCCTGTCACAATTCCCAATGAATATTCATAAACCCTTTCAGGGTCGGAGGACACCTTAATGCTCGGAGCGTTTATAGCGGTTGGAAGTGAAGAGTGCGCAGATTCTTAACGGACGGCTGCTGCTGGAGGTCTGACATGACCTGACAGATGGACGTGATCATCAGAGAAATCCATCATGGTGGCCACATGCAGGCAGATCTTGTCAGATCCATAAAGTGTATCTAAACCGACACAGAAATGTCTCATACTGCAGCTTAACAGTCCTTAGATGCAGCGGCTGCATTCATTTTCTTTTTATAGGCCAAGAGCACTTTCAGCCAGAACAGAAAATACCTTTTGATCCTGCCAGAAATGCCGTGTCCTTGTCACTTCCTGTGAGCTTAGAGCATCAACAACCTTATATCTCTAACTACCGATCTCATCGATCCACTATGCAACCAACAAACAAAGGCAGAAACGTTTGAAGTTGAGCCTGTGTAATAACCATCCCTCCATAGATACAATGAAGAGATCAGTGTAGGCACAAAGGAAAGGAAGTGTGTTATTGGCAGGATGACAAGGCTGAGATGGAGAGAAAAAAGCAGGCAAAAGAAAACTAATCCTGCGACCACATCTAGAAACCTGTTCACACTACTGCACTGTGCTAATGCATTATTGCATGCCTTAGGCTTCATTCACACGGCACCCCCACCCCTAAGGGGCAGTACAGCCAGGTGGTAGAGCCCCACCCCACAACTTCCTGCTTGAACCAGGGCATGCAGAATGTCACATTCGGTGAGCATTATTGCCACCAGCCGCAATCAATGGGAAGCTCCTCAACAGCTCAACAAATCTGCAATGTATGCAAATGTAGCAAAGTATTGCAGCATTTACAGGGTTAAATACACCGCCAAACACCATCGGAGAGGATCATCATACAATACCATACAATATATATAGAACACAACACCACCCACATGATCGACTACTGGACACCATCAATAATACAATTCTATTACACTCTATACATAGAACACTACACCCCCAACATGGCCGACCACTGGACACCATCATAATACAAATATAGTACACTCTATACATAGAACACTACACCCCCAACATGGCCGACCACTGGACACCATCAAAATACAATTCTATTACACTCTATACATAGAACACTACACCCCCAACATGGCCGACCACTGGACACCATCAT